TTAAATCTGTTGATTGTAGAGTTTTAGAATGTATATGTTTTATATTGTTTTAAATCAAGCTACTTGGAATTTTATGTAAAAATAGTTAACCCCCTAGGGTGCCCCAAGCCTGTGGAATGCTTAGGGGTAAAAATATGGAGGCTGGAATTTTTAGGATGGTGAACAGATGTTTACTGATCCTCACTTTTTGTAACTGCGCAAGCACTCTGCTCTGAGCACTTTTGGGTTTGTAGATGTCCCATTCTGGCTACCAGTGACCAGAAATGTAAAATAGAGTACTGTCTGTCAGGAGTGTCAAACTCAATTGTATCGCCTGCCACATCAGCGTTATGGTTGCCCTCAAAGGGCCGGTTGTATCTGTAAGACTATATCAATGTATCTACTCTTTGTTATATTAAATAATTGTCACAGCATTTGATTATTACTGGTTTTGTTAATAACTAGCTCTGAAAGTCAAGGAAAACTAATGGCAATTAGTGTAATAGTGCAGACTCTCAGGTGGGCTATGCGAGGTCTATGGTGGGCCGTGCAGACTCTCAGATTGCTATATGAGGTCTATGGTGGGCTGTGTGGACTCTCGGGTGTGCTATGCAGGGTCTATGGTGGGCTGAGCAGGTTCTCTGGAGCGCTGTTTGGACTTTCAGGTGTCTATGCATGGTCTATGCTTGGCTGTGTGGACTCTCAGGTGGGCTATGCAAGGTCTATGGTTGGCTGTGGGGTACTCTCAGGTGGGCTGTGGGGTACTCTCAGGTGGGCTGTGGGGTACTCTCAGTTGGGCTGTGCGGCCTCTCAGTTGGGCTGTGCGGCCTCTCAGTTGGGCTGTGCGAACTGTCAGAGTATTCAGGTTGTTCTCGGCTCGTGATTCACAGGAAGGCTGCCATGACCTTGCTGGGGACATTAGCAGCCTTCCTGTGAAGCCCGGTGCCTGTTTACAGCGCCAGCCTTTTTTAAAAATGTAAAGCTGTATGAGAGGTGCGAGCAGCACATGAAATGGCCAGGTGGGCAAGATTCAGCCTTGTGTTTGACACATGTGGATTACAGGATTAGGTAAAGGTTTATGAGGCTGCCCCCTTGATTACAGGGTGAGGTTGCCCCCTTGATTACGGATGTTGACAATTTTACCACCTGATCACCATTATGAAAAATATAAATCACCAATCACATTATTGTTCACCCTTTTACAACCTATTTATGTTTTTTTTTTTTATTTTTCTGGCAGCCCCCATTATATACTTTTACTCTGAAGCAGAGCTTTTCAGAACAGTTAGTGGGTTTTTTTTGTTTTCTTTTTTAAAGCAAGCACTGAAATCAAGTTTAAAGTAGTGCATGTATGCACTTGCAAATCTTAGTTTCTTGTGGCTTATTCATGAGGTCTCCCAGCTGCTGTGCAGACGCAGTGCAGGAACCAGGATTCTCTGACCTCTTGGTTTCAGCTCTTGTGCCTGCATAGCCCAGAGGTCCTAGATTTTCCACACCTTCCTCATACTCATTTACGCGTCTACCTTTGCATAAGGGGCAAAGACCATAACTGCACGGAACAATGTCCCTCTTCCCTGTCCTGTCTTTGTTCTCCTTCTCATTTGTTGACAGCTACATTTTCTAAAACAAGTAACAAGGAGCTTATAAAAACAGAAGAGAGGGAAGATTAACAAGGGATAAAACTGCCCTATTATATGCCAAATTCCTGACAAAAAAAGAAAACTATTCCTATGGAGAACTTTTTTTTTAAAGTGACACTAAACTCAGTTAAACTTAAACCTTAACAAAAATGTATCCTTTTTGTGTATCACTCGGCTGTAGATCCTCCAATCATCTCTGAATTGGTGCTGACACTGTCCTTCCTTCTGGAGGGTGGCTACTTTTGTTCTCCATGGTCCCTGTGTGTGTTGTAAAGTAGCCACCGCTCCAAGCTCCCTCCCTTGATGAACTATAACCTCAATACAAATTAGTAAACTAAATGTGAAATTGTAGTCTATCACGGGAGCGTGCTTGGAGTGGTGACTACATTACAACACACAGGTACCATGGGGAACAAAAGTAGCCACCCTCCAGAAGGAAGGACAGTGTCAGCATCAATTCAGAGATGATTTGAGGATCTACCGCCGAGTGATACACAAATAAGATAAATGTTTGTTAATAGTTAAGGTACTTGAATGCATTTTTAAGATTCAACTCTTGAGCTTAGTTTGACTTTAAGGGAATGATTACATCAATTTGTTGAGTTGGTAGCACTTGATTCATCACCTCCCATTAATGCTGATAGACTCTATAAGAAGGCACATAGATAATAAGAACTACTTCAGTTCTGATTTTAAACATTTTTGAAGTGTGTGGAGGAGTTTTAAATTTTCAAGTGATATCTATTTTTCTGAATGCAAAGGATGTATTCAAGGGACCTTTTTGGTAAATTGAAATTGTGCCCAAAGGATATATGAAAATACTGCTAAAGGCTAAGTTTACCTTTAATACCATGTTTTATGTTACTTTTATAGGGTGAAACATGGTTTTAAGGTGAAACATGGTTACATAGCCAGCCTCTCACCACCATCTCACCCCCTTATCTGAAACACAGGGTTTTTCATAGTTATTTCTCAGCGTATGGCCCTGTTAATTGTTTAAAAATTGACCCCTAATCTTCTTTAAAGAAAAACAATCATTAAAAGAATGTTGGCTGCAAATTCCCTGGCATGAATGCTGATCCTCACTTACTGTATGCCTGTTCATATCAGTGGCCTTAAAAGTATTGAAGTTACACAATAGCCAGGCAGCTTGATATTTCAGGAGTTACCAATTGTGGCCTACATTTATCTTCCATTAGAGTTTTCCTTTAAACTTGGAGTACAGCTGGGCACAGCTATTGCACACAAATGCTTGGTGATTGCATGGTGTTATGTGGCTTTTATACAAAGGTTATGCTGCTGCTTCGTTTGTCTCATGTCTAAGCTGACTGATGGGAAGGCCATTAATGGATATAAAAGCTGTAATCAAATCCCAGTGATTTGATTACAGAATAAGATGCCTTGATAAAGATATATCATTGATTTATTCCCTTCATTTCCTGTATATAGCACCAGTGTGCTGCAAGATCTTTACAGCATACATTCACTTTTAAGGTTCCATTGGAGCTTTATTAAATCTTGGAGAAAATCACTGGTGAGCTACTTGAAGCAAACTTGTGTAACAATGGGAGAGAGAACAGCAAAAAAGATCTCTAGTAGCTACTTTTGGAAAGAAGCCTTTGGATAAAGTCAACAATTTTAGTTAAAAAAAACAGACTAACCCTTGGTCAAGGTTTTGGGGTTCTGTAGATCCAAGTTAAAGGCAATAGGAAGCAACAAGTGAAAGCAATTTAATTCATTTTATTTTTATCTCAGTTCTCTGTAATCTACTAAAGCCAAAATCTAGAGATGTCACATGGAATGCACCACTGAGGCCTGTGCTGTGCAGCTTCTTTTTTCTCTAAGTCCTGTGTGACCAATTTTGTTCAAGCACCAGGCAAGTTTAAGATGTGAATGGGGCCTTAAACAAATGCATAATTAAATGGTCAGGGTCAGGTTTTGTTCTGTTGGAGTGTTACTGAGTGACTTTGGATCCCATCTCTAGAAGGGATCTACGAGTATGTGCTGGCACCTCTTCTTCTCTATTTCCTGGTTTAGCCTCTATAGAGTAGTGGTAGGGTTACGTTAAAGATTACTGTATATACATTTTGACATTTTTTTTCTTATATTGTGGAAATATTAAGAAAAAATAAACATTACTTTTTTTAGTCATGTGAAATATGGCATATGAAAATTTCATACAATTATTGTAGCCATCAGGGGAATCTTTGTGCTGTTGTTTCCCAGGCTGATAATGTATTGCTGAAAAATGCCTGTTGATAGATCTCAAGCTCAAATTAATCCTCACAGCTGATTGAGCAACCAATTCTTCTTCCTCTGCCTTCCTTCCTGGAGTGTTCATGCAGACCAACTAGGGAATTGGAGAGAGAGAGTGCCTGAAAACAATCATCTTCTGCAGTGCTCTCTATTTAGGAAATGCATATTGCTCTGGGGCACCAGTGTCTTGCACCCTGTATTTAAAAATATATAAGCAATACTACGGTATATACAAAAATAATATATTACAGCTAATCCAAGACCAATTTAGTTTCCCTTGGCAATTGAGGCTAAAAAGAGATATGTTTAGGTAGCAAATGCTAATTTATAGTGACACTAAACTCAGGAGTTATATCTTAAAAATGCATTCAAGTTCCTTAACTATTCATAAAAATGTATCTTATATGTGTATCACTCAGCTGTAGACCCTCAAATCATCTCTGCATTGTTGCTGACACCGTCCTTCCTTCTGGAGGGTGGCTACTTTTGTTCCCAATGGTTCCTGTGTGTGTTGTAAAGTAGCCAACGCTCCAAGCTCGCTCCCGTGATGGGCTACAATCTCGATACAAATGAGTAAACTAAATGTGAGATTGTAGGCTATCATGGGTGTGAGCTTGGAGCGGTGGCTACTTTACAACACACAGGGACCATGGGGAACAAAAGTAACCGCGCTCCAGAAAGAAGGACAGTGTCGGCACCAATTCAGAGATGATTTGAGGATCTACAGCTGAGTGATACACACATAAGATACATTTTTGTATGTTTTTTTAAAGAGTTTAGTGTCACTTTAGGCACACTTTAGCCATGTTTCAGATGGCAAAGCTTCTTATAATACCAGAACTGGCAACACAAGAAAATACAGATTTTGCAGTTGACCACAAGTGGCCACAATTACTAGAAAAATAGTATAACCAGACAAGTTATGGAATACTAAAACAGCCCTCCGTTAGCGACGTACACTGTACGTCGTCAGTCACGAAGGGGTTAACCAGTATAAAACATTTGCATGTATCCCACCATCCTAGGAAGAAACCCCTTTTTTGCGGACTTGTGGTATAAAACCACAAAATGCCTTTCCTTGATTGCCTTCTTCCTTATGTGACATTTCTTTCTTTCTTCCCACAGAAAGGAGGGAGAGCTGGAGGATGGTGAAATAGAGGATGGAGGATTTGAAGAGGAGCCTGAGCCAGAAGAAGCAAAGGAAGAGACCAAGGAAGAAGAGAAACCCATTATTGAGAAATCACACAAGAAGTCAAGAAAACGCAAGAGAGAGAAGAAGAAACGCAGGCGTAGAGAGAAGCACAAGGTGACCATACCTAGGGGTTTGGTTTGTGTGGTATACAGTTTTAAAAATAAAGGGCTCATAGGAACATTATATGTAAATACACCCTGCCATGTAAAATATATCCATTCTTCAAGCATCTCGCATAATAAAACAACTGCTTTTCAGATACGAAGTGTCTGAACTCGTATGCAGCAACCTAGATATATAGATATAACTTCAGTTAGACACCAATGCCGGGACATTCTGAAGAACAAAACACTGACACTTCCTAGTAATGCTGATGTTTGCTTGCAGCCTTCTGCCTTCCACTGGCCCATCACCATCATCAGCTGCCTCAGTAGTCAACAAGGCAGGAAAGAGCTGGCAAGCTTTTACACTACCAGGAAGTGGCAGAGCTTTGCTCATCTGAACATCCTGTCATTTAGGTGCGGAACGGTGGGGAAGTTGGCGCTGGTGTCCCGAATTTATACCTAACATTATTTTATTTTTTTCATTTTACTGACAGATGTTTGATATTACTTCTTAGTAGATTTCATATAGGGTTAGGGTTTTGTTTGGTTAATTTTATTATGAGAAAGCAGATCTAAGCTGAAGTATGGGAGAGGCAACATTGTTATATTGATTAAATGTGTTTTTGACTTTTCTCAGTTATTTTGTCACTATTGCATTATGGTTTTTGACTGATGTTTATATCTTTGTGTTGCAGCATAGTGACAACAGCTCAGATAACAGCTATGATTCTGATGCTGAGCTTTCAGAGAGGCCTCACAAACCTCCCATGTACAGAGACTACGATTCCCATTATACGCAGGTAAGGTTTAATGTAAAAAAAAAAAGTATCCACAATAACATTTTATTAAATTAATTGGGGAATTATCCTTCCTGTCCATTTGACCGGTTTCAGATAGAACAGGAAACAATGAGAAATCCATTCCAATAGAGACACAGACTGCAAAAAAACAAATTTTCTCATTTACAACCTGACAGAAGTTCTAACCTTTCCCTGCTCTATCCATAACTATATAAAAAAAAAGAAATAAGTTTTGGCTGGGGTTGGACTTGAATATGTTGATTCTCTGTTTAGAACAAACACTGATTTATTAACAGTGGTAACGTTGATTCGTTGACTGTCTTCCAGCATGGCCACGGACCAGGGAATTACATGGGATCCCACAAAAAAAATTCCTCCAATTATGATGACTACACAAATTACAGTGATGGGAACTATAATGAGGAAGACGAGGAGGACTATGCAGAACAGCTGAAACACTACAGACAATCAAAGGAAGGATCGAACATGGGAGAACCCCCTTATAAAAAGATGGGCATGAAAGGGGGAGATCTAGGTAAACCTTTTCAATGCATCCTAAAAATGTGTACAAAGTAGGGATGCACCGATACAAGCATCGGTGGCGATACCGAGTATTTGCATGAGTACTCGCGAACTCCTCCTCCAAGTCCTCAGTCATCTGCTCCATTCTGACCTCTTCTCCCGCTGTTTGGCCGATTGGATGATTGACAGGCTTCCTCACCAGTCAGGAGTGACTGGTGAGGAAGCCTGTCATCATCCAATCGGCCAATCAGTGGGAGAAGAGGTCAGAATGGAGCAGATGACTCGGTATCACAGCCTAGTCATCTGCTCCATTCTGACCTCTTCTCCCGCTGATTGGCCGATTGGATGATTGACAGGCTTCCTCACCAGTCAGGAGTGACTGGTGAGGAAGCCTGTCATCATCCAATCGGCCAATCAGCGGGAGAAGAGGTCAGAATGGAGCAGATGACTAGGCTGTGACACGGAGTGGCTGAAGCAGACGGAGAAGACGACACAGCAGGTTAGTACTGCCGCACCTCATGGGGCTGGGCACAAAAATGCTGTTTACCGGTCATATATTATTTAAAAAAAAGAAAATAACTATGTAGATATTGCTAACTAAGGCTTGTATCCCCCTAGTGGGGAAAATAGACAAGCACATGTTCAGACTCCAGAACACTGTATTATTGTATAGTGTGGCACAGCTATATCCAATTCTGCATACCTGACTTTATATTATAAAGCCAGGTATGCTGAATTGGATATAACTGTGCCACACTATACAGTGTTCTGGAGTCTCTACATGTGCTCATCTATTTTCCCCACTATGGGGATACAAGCCTTAGTTAGCAATGGCATGATAAATATTAATTTCATGTTCATTTCATGTTCTTCATAATATTAAGAAACTGACCTAAAATCATGATTTTGTATTGCTTTAGAAAAAGTGTGACCTGTCCCTTTAAGAAAAAGTATCGGTAATTGGTATCAGTGAGTACTTGAAAAAAAGTATCGGTACCAACTGCAGCTCCTTGACCTTGAAATGTACTCTATTACCTTCCACTGACCACTTTAGTTGGTTGGATTGTTGTAGTATTCTTCCTCATCTAGTGAGGATGATCCTTATCTGGCCTGGGATTTCTTAGAGGTCATTGTGGCCCAGTCACTGCTGTGAATGATACTGCCCTTCCATTCCTGCTCCATCTTATTGCTTACTGTCATTACATTGTGTTGCGTGCTTTGCATGCAGTGTTTCTATTGATTTGGTACAGCCTTATCAAGTGGCAGATAATAGCTGTTTGTGACCTGTGCTGCAGAGCATCTATTCAACTCTGGAACACCTACAAACACCCTGATATCACTATTCTCTAAAAACAATTGGAAGAAAAAAGTTTGCATTTTGAGTCTTGTTTCTGCCTCCTGTTACCTTTTGAGCTTTAAATACTATATCAAAGTGCTGTGTAGAAATGTATAATTATGCAGGTGAATGTTACATTCTATGACAGTGTTCATGACACAGTAACAGCATTTTCTCTGTGACCAGTGTGTCATTTTAACACAAACCTCCCCTGGAGCTGTCCATGGGATTCACAGTTGTATTTATAACTGTGTTGAGAAGCCAAGGCATAGGAATAAAGCACCGCTCCTCCATGGCTTTACCAGGGGAAAGACAGCCGGGTGCTCACTGGCAGGAGTGTGTCCCAACACAGGTATATAGTAAAAGGAGGAGTTCGGTAGCACCCTGTTGTACGCAGAATCAGTTTATTGCAAATTCGTCCTTCACCCAATCCTGGGCTTAGCTATAGCGATCTCTATCTCTCTATACCTGTGTTGGGGAGCCAGACAGCTTAGTCTTACTGTTATGAAGGCACTAACAGCTGGCCAATGCTTTTATCTTGGAAAATGTTTCCCCCAGGTTTGTCGGTTTGGAAATTAAATGAAAGCCTTCATTTATAGTGTTTTGGTATTTAGTAAATATTTTTTTCAGCAAGGTTCTCTTTAGTTTTGCATCAACATATCTTTGGAAAGCTTTTCAAATGAGTTTATGCTTGTGTATTTATAATTACTGTTTACTGTTTTCTTTCCTGTTAGGATCTGAGCAGCAACAAAAAGGTTATTACTATGGTCGGGGGGGTGGTCCACATAAGAAGATGATGATGCGTAAGGATAGAGGTCGAGGCAGAGGATCACATAAAGGATCCTATTATCAAGATGGCTTCCAAGAGGTGAGGTTCAGAAAGGATGCTGATAATTGAGGAACGTATGCAGCATGTTGCTAACGTATGGCGTTTTGTATGCATTTTTGCTTAGTACAAACTATTTACAGAAAGGTGCTTATAACTCTGTATCCCCTGCTTAATTTATTAACGCCTAGCTTGCTTTTCCTGCAAACTCTGCTGAGATTAGTAGAATGAAAACTGCAATCAAGTAAAAACATGCAGGTTCTTATGCATAATGGTTAAACATGTTTTCTACTTAAAATTGTTTCATTTAGGTAATCTGTAAACTTATAATGAATGTCTTATTGCTCATGTTTAACCATTGCCTTGCTGCATGACAGAATTGATAAATGTCCCCCATTGTGTTTATCAAGGTAATTGCAAGCACCTTATGATGCCTGATCTTAGATGTGGCTTTTAGTTTTAAATCATTAGACAGGTTGCCTTTTGAATCATGTTGGATATTATGCTGTCTGCTGCTGGATGGCCTAGCAACCGTTTAGCAGAGACAGACCAATGTTTACATAGGTTTAGTTTCTTTGACCACCAAACTAATTGCGTTCAATAGTGTTGTACTAAGGCGGAGGGGAGTATACCACAGGTAACTAATTAAAATGATTAAAAAAAGGCAATGTACAGTTTTCGTAGCCAGCTGTGACATCTTGTGTCGGACTGTCAGGTTGCATAGCCCTCATCAGCCAGGCCAACTCATCCTTTCATCAGTGGGTCCACCAGCATCCCATCAGCAAGATAGTGAACTCTCATTATGAAGTCTTATATTTATGTACATTCTACTGTTGCCCCATTACCATAACTAAATAACATAATGAAATAAGAATAATAAGAGGCACTGTAAATAAATCCTCTATGCACAGTTTATATATAAACTGACAGTATAACATAACCCAGTAAATTCACAAAACAACGGTCTCTGTGAGAAGGTAGAAAGCATTATTTTATGTCCCTGTGTCTCTAACTTCTAAATTCTGTCTTTAAGGGCTTGTTCACACCATGTCTTGACCAGATCTGTACCAGAACATTTTTTGTCCGCACCTGAAATGCATTCCAATGTATTCTTATGGTATTTCTGGGCTCTGTTCACACCAGTGCAGTCCGTTCCGGTGCGGGGAAAGCAAAAAGGTGCATGCACTATTTTTTCTGGTCTGGAACGCATCAAAATGCATGCAAACACATCTAAATGCATGCTAATGCACTGAACTGCACCTAAAAGCCCATTTTAAGTTAAAAAATAATTAACAAAAAGCACAGGAATGCATCAAAAACATGTAAAAAATGCATTGCACCGTGTTTGCAGAAACACACCCAGATCTGGTCTGGACATTGTGTGAATGAGCCCTCGATCTCGAATAAAGATTGAAAAGATCTCAAATCCTTTCTCTATTATTATGGTGCCCCCTTTTGTTTTTTTCCTCAGCATGTCACAGCTGATCATGTAAACTATCAAATTGGTTTTGAGTCAATCCACTGGTCCTTCATCAGTAAACTGAAAATTGTGATATACTCTTTCTGTGGCAGGATCATAAACCCATGAAGAAATGGGTGACCATGAGTCAGGAGTTCATTAATCAGCACACAGTGGAACGTAATGGAAAACAGATCTGCAAGTATTTCCTGGAGCGACGGTGTGTTAAGGTAAACCAATAGATATAATTTTTAAAACATGAAAGAAATGTATATGGCCCTTAGCAACCAGTCAGGTTCTATGAAGAATGAGGGTATCCTTATTTGCATCTTTGTACATATTTTAATACTAAATCTGCTATGATGTCCTTGGACTGTGTACTCTATCGACAATGCTTGATGCTGGACAATTAGTAGTCAATAAAGCAATGCAGATAGCACTGATAATGTGCTAAATGCAATGACGTAGCTTCTAACAAGAAATCCTTCATGAACAATTTCACCACAGAAAGCTGCATTTTACACACAAGTCAGTACATTCCTCCATGTCATTATATCTTTATATTTATTTTAGTCAAAAATAATCCAGCAAAAGATGTTTTGCTGCATTGTTTCATTGGACTAAAATCAATGTTAAGTTTTACATGAAGAGATGTGCTGATCATTGTGTGCAGAGTATGTAAGGTGGGGACTGTTTATTGTGAACTCCAGAGTTTTGAATGACTGGGATCCTCAGAAAAGGTGGGTGAGCTGACTTGGTTTTTTCTTCTTATCTGAGGGGGTGATAAACTAGTGCAGCTGCATGTGTATTAAGATGTATTATGTTTGCTAAACTTTGATCATATTTCTAAGCTTTTTGTTTTCTTTTAGGGAGAGCAGTGTAAGTTTGATCATGATGCAGAGATAGAAAAGAAGAAAGAAATCTGTAAGTTTTATATACAAGGATACTGCACCAGAGGAGAGAACTGCATTTATATGCATAATATCCTTTCAAGGCACAGCTCCGTGTGTTTATGTATTTTAATGTTAATTCACATATCTATGTGGTGTTAGCACTACATTAGTATGTATTAAAGGGAATCTGCATTTCTTTTTTATCTTGAATAATACCCTAGACTGAAGAAGGGTGAAAACCTTTTCGTGATACTGTGTAGGTTGTCTGAATCAGTAGGTGCATTTTAAAACATGGAGATACCCTTCAGTTAAGGGGGACGGTCAGCCGAGAGAGATTACAAAATATTTAGAGTGGAGACCGGCCTACGGGGCGGATCTTTACACAAAGTTTCTCAAAAGGAGAAACGTCTCTACTGGTTCTACCTCTCTTATCAAGGAAAAAGTATGGAAAAAAGTCACAAAGTTAAAAATATTCCAGCCACTTACCAGCTACTTATGTTCTAGCACTTAGAAGGACAGGCAAGGTCTTCAGGCGGCCTTAGTCCAAGGCCATAGAAATTGGAGAGAAGGACTGCGACTCCCAAATGAGAAATAGACTAGCGTATAATCCAGTAGGGAAGTCAGGTACCCAAAACAAACATGAGAGGGCCATTGTAGGAGGAAATTGCATGAGATCTAATGAGAGAGTGCCATACCTTAAGCAAAGGAGGGAGGGGAAAGGGAAGAGAACCACGTGCAGGACCGGATGAAGGAAGCATCCAGGGAAGGGAAAGGTGAGAGATAAGACTGTCTATTTGCACCCATAACTTGTTAGAATGAAAAAATAGTATCTAGCTGTCTAGTTGCTAACACTGCATAACGCAATCTTGCTGGTTTGTGAGACCAAACATATCCCAAAAGTAGAGCGCGGAAGAAAGATTTTGGAACCCCAAGAAGGACTGCTTGGAATACATATAAAAGGCGTGGAAGAATATCCATTTTAAAGAGGCCATACGGTCCAACTAAGAGTGATTGTGCTTTGAACAATCGCGTAGCATGGCACGGACTTAATGTAAATAAGGTTTTAAAATTAAGATCATAAAGATGTTCTAAACTATCGGAAAGATAAATCCCCAAATATTTGAGACCCTCATGCTGCCAAGAAAAGGGAAAAACACGCGGGGGCAGGGATACCAAATGGGGGGCCAAAGTAACACTCCAAACTCCTCTATCAACGAGGGAAAGGCCACAGCAGGATTGGATATATAAAGCAATAAGTCGCCGGCGTATAGACTCACTTTGAATTCCTGATCGGCAATTTGTATACCCCTGATGTTTGAGTTGTTTATAATGTGGGCAGCCAAGTGCTCCATCACAAGAATATACCTGTAAAGGGACGTTGGGCAGCCCTGTGTCATACAGTTACTAATGGGTAGTGAATCCGATAAAATTCCATTTATACGAACCCTAGCCGTAGGCGAGCAGTAGAGGGAAAGATCAGACAGGATCCCAATATGGATAAGAGCCACCTCCTAAAAATGTGTTCTTAATTTTTGCAATGCCTGCTCCTATATATAGACCAAATACCCAGGGGGACAGAGAAGAGAGGCGTTGTGTGGTAGTCTTAGAAGGTACCATTGAATCATATTACCATAGCGTTATTAGCTGGTACAAATACCCTGATTACAAGTGGTCCTTGGACAAGGATCTGTATAGTAGTAAATGCAGTGTAAGCAGTATGTCATTCAAGTGTGGGATTACCCTTTAAACCATCTAATGCTGGAATGATCTGGGAAATGATAGATATGCAGCAATAATGACACTGCAGGTTGACAGATTTCTTAATACATGTATTTTACTTAACTTTTCTGTCTCATACGTGAATTTCCTTGCAAATTTTACCATACTGGAGCAAAATGCTACCAAGGAGACAACTGCAAATTTTCTCATGAGAATCTTAATGATGACACCAGAGACTTACTGAACAAGGTGAGTAAGCAAACCACCATCAAACAATACTGAGAAGCTGCAGAACTCTGCCACCATTTGTGTTACTATAGAAAAGCCATGTCAAACTGGGACATTTCAACAAGGCATCGGTTTTTTTCTAGTTGATGAAGGCTACAGTTTTGAAGCTGTATAGAGCACGGAGGCCCTAAAAATCCAGCCTCTCCAAATACAACCCCAATTCCAAAAAAGTTGGGACGCTGTGTTAAATCTTTATAACAGAAAGCAATGCTTTGCAAATCTCATAAACCCATATTTTATTCACAATAGAAAACATATCAAATGTTTAAGCTGAGAAAATGTACCATTGTAAGAAATATATAAGGTAATTTTGAAATTGATGACAGCAACACATCTCAAAAAAATTGGGACAGGGCCATGTTTACCACGGTGTAGCATCCCCTCTTCTTTTAACAACACTCTAAATGTCCAGGAACTAAGGAGACCAGTTGCCGGAGTTTTGGGAGAGAAATGTCGTCCCATTCTTGCCTGGTATAGGATTCTATCTGCTCAACAGTCCTGGGTCGTTTGTTGTATTTTTCTTTTCAAGATGTGCAAAATATTTTCAATTGGTGAAAGGTCTGGACTGCAGTCAGACCAGTTAAACACCCCGACTCTTCTACAAAGCCATGCTGTTGTCATAGATGCAGTATACGGTTTACCATTGTCCTGCTAAAATATGCAAGGCCTTCCCTGCAAAGATGTCATCTGGATGGGAGCATATGCTGCTTTAAAACCTGTGCTGTCCTGGAAGACTAATGGAAATAGAGTTACCGGTAAGTCCTAACTCTGAATTTCAGATGTGCAAGCTGCCCATTCCATACACACTAATGCACCCCCATACCATCAGAGATGTAAGTTGAACTGTGCTGAGAAGCTGGAAGGTGCCTTTCGTCCGGAGGATGCATTGTCCATGGTTGCCAAAAAGAATGTCAAATTTTGATTTGTCGAACCACAGAACAGTTTTCCACTTTGCAACAGACCATTTTAAATGAGCTTTGGCCCAGAGAAGACGGCATCATTTTTGGATCATGTTCACATATGGCTTCTTCTTTGCATGATAGAGCTTTAACTTGCATTTTTGGATGGCACGGCAAGCTGTGCCCACAGACAGTGATTTTTGGAAGTATTCCTTAGCCCATGCAGTGAAGTCCATCACAGATTCATGCCTGTTTATAATGCTGTGCCATCTGAGGGCCTGAAGATCACCGGTATCCAATATTGTGTTTCAGCATTGTCCCTTTTGTGCACAGACACTCTCCAGAGTGTCTGAATCTTTTGATATGTACTGTAGATCACTGGTCCCCAACTTTTTTATCCCCGCATCGGTCAACGTTTGATAATTTTACCGCGGCCCGCTGAGGGGTGGACGTTGATTGTTTATATTTTAGATTGGAATCACCTGTCCCGATAAATCCATATTTCAAGTAGGACGCATTGTATTGTCTGTTAAAAGTTACATGTTTCTTTGATGTTGAAGGCCCTTCTTCTGTCTCTTCACTGGGCCTTTTCTTTTTCCCAAGGAAACTTTCTAACGACGTCTGTTTCGTACTCATTTTTGCTAATTTGTGGGTTAAATTTGAGCAAACACAATATACACGTACACCAAGCACTGTTAAACATGAGAAGAGCTATACACCTTCTCTTTACCAAAGCTACAACGCCACTGCCGCTTGCAGCCGCTCAGCTCCAGACGTCACCTAAAACCGCCCCGATATCACGATATTTTGCGCATGCGCAGTATTGGTGCGGCTTTAGGTGACATCTCTCCGCTCCCGGTTAACCTCTCGTCCTGGAAAGTCGGACAAACCCGAGAGAAATACACCACAGTAAATAAAATGGAAATAATGTAATGTTCCTTGGGCGGCCCGGTACCATTTGATCCACAGACCGGTACCGGTCCGTGGCCTGGGGATCACTGCTGTAGATGATTATATATTTAGAGTATTTGCAATTTTACGTTGAACATTATTCTGAAATTGTTCAACAATTTTTGGCCGCAAATTGGCAATAGCCCGCTATATACTGAGTTTTGGGTCACGGGAGTTACTATATGTCCTCCCATGACCCTAAAGAGAACTATGGGAAAAAAGGTTACCCCATAGTTCTCTTAAGTAAGAGAGGTAATCCAAGAACAATATATTCACTGCTGTCTCTTACCCGGATACTGAATGCTGCACATGTTTTTTTAGAAATGGTTGTGTGGGAATATGTGTATTATAAGTGGCCAGCAAATGATTGCAAAAACTGTGTTCTGGTTGCAGGTATTAAACACAGAAGAGGAACAACAGCTGGAGGAGGAGGAGGAGGAGGAGGAGGAAGAAGCAGAGGAGGTGCCACGACATGGGTTGGTATAATTATCAGATTACCCTATTGTGTGTCTGTACATTGCCTACCTTGCCTTAGGCATGCCACATAAGCTTAGGCCTAGTGGTGAGGACTGTTAGGACTATTAGCTAGCAGTTAGTGCTAAAGACAGAGAGTCCAATAGCATGACATCACACTTTCTGTAGGTGTTTGGACACTGATGATGACCCAGCCAAGAATCCCAGACTGCCAGCTAACCATGAATAGAAAAATGAATTCACAGTTTAAAACCAGGGTGTCTTACTTAGGAGCCAGTTTGTATAATAGTACTTCCATTGACTACAGATAATGCCTTTTTTGGAGATTTTTCTATTAATGTTTGATCAGCTCTGCATGCAAAGTCATCTAAACCACGACTGTCCAATTTTCTTTATCATCCGTTCACGAACATAGGAATTCAGATACACTCAGGTTATACTGCCACCTACAGAAGGATGTTGGCAAACAGAAAAATCACAAAACAACAGAGTACCATTCCTCTACCCAGCATGCCTCACGTTCCTGGCTAGTAGCCTCTTGTGGTAACCTTTTTCATCCTGGTCTGGAGCATCTGTTCGATCATCTATGCTCTACCTCTTGGTCAGGTGGCACAGTTGGACTTATCTGGTGGGGTCTCGCCTCATCCTTCAGATTTGGTTGTTGGTCCTTCATCCAGTTTCTGAGCTGCAGACAGTCTCCCAGTCCTCTTGGTAGGTCTGATGGTGGGATATTTGCTGGCATCCCGACTTTGTCTGAATTCCTGTGTCCATTAATAGATTGTAACGAAAATTGGATTTTTGTATTTGCTGTAAAATCCATTTCTTGAGGCCCATGGAGGGACACAGGTCCTGCTCCAGTGTGTTTTTTTTCATACCCTTAGTACTGCTTGACCACAAAACTGAGGTATGTTGGGAAGAGAAGGGGGGGTTACAATTTTTTGTTTGCCAGTGTCAACATCTCGCTGTAGTCAACAGTATAACCCCATCTGCATTTGAATTCCCGTGTCCCTCAATGGACTTAAAGAGATGGATTTTACAGTAAGTAAGTAAAATCTCATTTTATTAATTTTTTGCATAAGGGGATGGCATTGGCTCGTGGAAGCTGGAGAGGTCTGTTTCTGTATTCTTACACCCAGCCTTTATTTCAAACCCACAACTGGTTTTCAAATTCTCTAGTACCATCAACTCAATCCAATCCAGTGATTTTGTACTAGAGTGTCCAACTAAGGTGCCAGTGTGTACTGTTGTCATTGGAAGTAAATGTAACATGGTACACACTGGGTGCTTAAGTTGGGCACTCTAATTTCTAAAATTGTAAATTCATTTGTCCACCCTTCTCTAGTTTACAGTCTGGCATTTTTGGATGATTTGTAATTTGACTCAAATTATTTCCAGAAAGTATGATGAATTTAGGTAGGGGAACAGTGTGCATATGTGTGTGGAATAGCAGCTAAAACAGTTCTGAAAGCGTGTAAGTTTGTGAAGTGCTTAAAATATGGTCTTTTTAGGGGCATGGTTTTGTGACAGACAAAGGGGTCACCATTATTCGAAACTATAGCAACAACTAAGGGTCCCCATGGCACTATATATAGGCAATTGTGGCAATACATGGGTTGCTTTTTTAAAGGAAAAATATTTGTTCTATTGTGTAGTATACAAAAATTTGGATACTATTGCATGTGTCAGATTTTATACATGGGTGGCATTGCTGTGGAACACCAATACTATAGCTTCTGCAAAGGACCATTTCAATATATTATTGCTTAAAACCCAGTTGAACTTTCAGTTTAAATTAGAATAAAACAAAAGGTGTACAACATATTAGTTTATTTTTTTCTTTCTGAGATCGAAAAGTTTGTTTCTTTCCAGCATGGTGCTGAGTGGACCCCTTTTCTCTCTGGAGCAGCAGTGATCCCATTGTATAAGTCTGACATGCACCCTACCGAGTCATTCCTATAACTTTGCCATCTCTGGGGAGCTATAGTTTCCGCACAGAAAGCAACGGTCCCACTTTGCAGCTGCTGGCAGTGACAGGCTTCTCTACCAAGGCTGTGGCGACCTTAGGAAGAAAAAGAAAGTGTCAGACACTGAAAACCTTTTGTGTCGATGCACATGGAATGTACTGTATTTAGCTGATTTAAACTGTTCATTTGGGCTTTCATCACAAATTAGGAACCATCCTTGATTTGTGAAGAACCCTTAGTGCTGCAGTTCACAGCCAAAAGGAAATTCTGAGTGTACATAACTTAACGTTATAGAAGTGATACAGGTAATTTTCTCCTGTCCTCCTTGTTGTCTTTTTGCAGAAATGCTTTTTGTTTCTAATTAGGATTGCAACTGGTCACATACAAGTAGTGTTAGTCACATGACTAAAATGTGTCTTGTTAACTTTATTGTAGAGGGAAGTTTTACAACCTGCCATATATGCCGTTTACTGGAAATCACCCATCAATGTACAACTCAGAGCCCCTCCTAGATCCAGGGCCTATGACACCACCACCACCACCACCACCACCACCGGCTATGCCAATGTATGGCAACCATGGAATGAATGTGCCATTTAACCAGCCTCCAGCACAAGGCCATGGTCAAAACCACCAAAGGGATGGCAGCAGTACTCCTGGTCCCCCTTTTCTCCAAATTGTGGAAGAGAAGATGCATGGCATGCCACCACAAAACAGCTATCAGCACTCACAGAATGCTCCTGGATACTATGACAACTACTACTCCCAGCAGGCTGTTCACCACGTGCAGTCTACAAACATATCAGAATGTGAGTTACATCTTTTCTTTCTTGCATGACATTTTTTTTCTCATCACTTGTTTTGACATTTAGATCTAGTTCGCTAAAAGTGGATCAGAATTTTTAATGTTTTAAATGTGTCCTCTGCTTCGGATCACCTTCCTTTTAGTTCTGGTTTGACCAGGAGCAGAAGCTACATTTCCAGACTTCACCTGCAGTGCCATCTACTTAAAGTATGTGGTAATCCAACTATTCTGTCCTAATAATAGATGTATATTTCTTCTTCAATAGAGCTTGTAAACTCATAGAACGTCACAGATTAATAATACCTTAAAGGAGAACTATGAGGTGAGTGCTTTTCACTCACCTCATAGTTCTAGCCGACCTGTGACAATGAGACTGTCACAGGTCGGCTCAGTAGATCGGGAAGTGAGCGAACACATACCGGCGTTCGCTCACTTCTCGATCCTGTCACGGCTGGATTCCCCCCTCCCCACTCCGATCCTTCAGCGCGGAACGGACGGGGGAGGGGGCGGGTACAGCTGGCTCTTCCTCTATATAGGCAGAGCCAGCTGTCACTCACGCAGCTGGGCGGATCCAGACATAATTGTCGGGATCCGCTTCAGCTGCGGCGTCTCAGTATACCGCGAGCTGAAGCTGGCGGTATACTGAGCTTAGGGTGACAGGAGGACGCTAGTTTGTGTCCTCCCTTTACCCTAAGGAGAACTATGGGGAAAACCCTAACCCCATAGTTCTCCTTTAAAGTGCAGATTGCAGAGGTGTACATTTTACTATAAGCGCCCATGCCCCCATCCCTCCCACGTATAGCACCGTTTTTTAACATAAAACCTGCATTCTTTGGGCAAAATTCACTGGTATGCTTTATTGCTATAAATAAATACCCTTCATGTATAAAAACTGGAGTAAAGGAAAGGAAATTGAGTGTTACTGGCAAAAAGAAACAAGGATTCTTGTGACTACTGCGCATCCTGTGCCTGGATTTGTAAATTCTTGCTATGTTTGTCTCACTTGTAGCCCCTGGCTTCTTCCCACAGTCAGAAGACCCACTTCTAGGTTTGTCAGCTTCCATCTAAAGGCTTATTTGAATGGTTATGTGTCCTTTGTATAAATCCCCAAATAAAATTGGTGCTAAAAAAATAATTAAATTAAAATAAATCCATTCGCCCCTACACTGCTGTGAGCACTCTTAGAGTGTTGCAGTTGCATCATAATAAATTAAACTGGCTTTTGGAACTTGCATGTGTTGTACAAATATTTTCATGTACAGAAACAAGTCTCTACTTAGGTTTTAGCAATGCCTAATTAGGCATGTTTATTTTAGCTTTTGTATAATAAAGGGTTTTGACAGGAAATTGCTTTCACGGTTGTCTGAATACTTGAATGTCGAAAAAGTTTGTAATTATTTGTTACGTTTTTATTTTCAGCTATGTGCAAAGTTTTGTTCTCAAGAATTGGTAAAAACATGGATGGTGCAGAAACCAGCCAGCCTGCTCCCCCGCAAAGAACAGTGAGCAGAGAAGAAGGTATGTACACAGTTCTTTGTATAGGCTCAGCCAGCATAATCTTGGGAAATGCACATTCAGTTATTACAGTATTTGACATAAGATATTCCTTAAAGTAACCCTGTATTACATATTATACCGCATGATACCAACAGTTCCCTTTATTGTGTTCAGCCTTCAATTATCTCCATCTGTCATCTTTTAATTATCTGTTAATAATTACTCATTTTACCAGAGTGAATGAGTGTCTATGATCAACATAATGCCATATAATGACAGAGGGGTTTGCAGACACTGAGCCGTTGGTCAAGTGGATGAGTCTGGCAGGTGCATTATGCATATATGCATTATAATGTTAAAAATGGAGATGTCTTTCTTGATGGGTTTTGTGGCTCTACCTTCACTTCTTCAGAAGTACATTTAGTGCTTCACTTGTGTGTTTTCCCAAAATGTAGCTGCTAAGACATCTGTAGGCAGGCAAAGGGAAAAAATGAAGGGACAGCAGATCCTTTGCCCCACTGTAGACTCCTGTAGTTCTGAAATAATACACTGAGTGGCCAGATTATTATGACCACCCCATCAGTACTTCGTTGGGCCACGAGATGACTCCACGAGATGACTTCGTTGGGCCGCCTCGTGACTCCACGAGATGTTGAAAGGTGATGCGAGGAATCTGACACGGCACTGTTGCCTTTCTGTTGTCTTGTACCAGTCTTGCCACTCTCTGTTCTGCCCTAACATTGACAAGTCGCTGACGGCCACAATTCGCACGTTCAGACCCAGATGTTCGGCTGACAATCCAGTCTTTAAACACTTTAACAACAGCTGCTCTTGAACATTTAACAAATTCTGCTGTTTTGCTGATACTCGCTCCATGGCTCCGAGCGACAACAATCATCCCACGTTCAAAGGCTGTTAAATCGCGTTGTTTATCCGTATCTTCAGAAAAAAATCACTTCTACTGTCGTGGTAAACAACCTGCTTCCCTATTTATAATGGTCTGGCCCTCTAGCAACTTCAGCGCGAAATTATAGCTAATTTGCCTACAAATGTCAGGTGGTCATAATAATCTGGCCACTCAGTGTATACACATGTTTACATTTAAGACAATTCCCATATCTGTTAATATGTGCTTTCTAATGGTGGCCATGACTTCCAATACTGCCTATTATTTTTGTTGGTCATAGCAAAAGGGTATTATTTCTGTCCAGTTTAGCATTTTGAGAGGTCATATTTTCAAAAAAAGGGTAGCTAGAATATTATATAACAATTGACCATTAATACTTAAAGGGGTTCTAAACCCTCTGGTTTTTTTTGCCTATATCTACTGCTATCAAGCAGTAGATATAGGCAAAATGTTTAAATAAAAAAAAAACCCGCTTTAACAGCGGTTTAAACTTACCTTTTTATAGTAACAATGGGACAAAAATAGATAATGAATTTTTATTCTTGAACATATTAGATAAACACCTTATAGTCCTTCCGTTTTTCTTATTTTATTATCATTTCCTGTTTTTTATCTTTTTAGATGAGTTTGCAAACTGGTACAGCAGTGAAGAAGAGGATGGCAGCGGTGTGAGTTCAATCTTGAAAACGTTAAGAAACCAAGCTAAATTGGCACGGGCTAATTCCACAGAACAAAAGCCGATTCCTCAAATTAATGACCCGAGACTGTCAAAAGACAGGGTGGTGGCAGGGCAAGGGCAAATATTTGACCCTCGAGTAAGACCATCTCAGGGACAAAGTCCAGGCCACCAAGGAGATAATGTGTCTGCTGATCCAAGAGTGGCTCGTGACCCCAGAAAAATGAAATCTCGGAGTGAGACCTCTGCTGCCACTCAACCTGTTCATCCTGGGGGAATTGCCAAGCAGCAGAAAGTGGTAGATGAAGATGATGAGGATGCTGAAAGGGAATTAAGAGATAAGGCGGTTATAATTCCATTAGAAATGTTACCAGGTGTGACTCTGAGGGACCCACGACGTAAACTGCGGCAGTTTAGTCACATTAAAATGGACATTATACTATCCAAACCCAACTTTGCCAAACTAATTGTCTGGGCACCAGAAGATTTGCTTCCTGTACCCCCTCCAAAACCTGACCCTGTGTCCTCTATAAATTTGCCATTACCTCCACTTATAGCCGATCAGAGACTTAACAAGTCAAGGAGTCTGAGTGAAGTACAACTTTCTGGCCCTGATCCAAGGTTGGAAAGGTTGGATCCAAGACTGGAATCAAAAACAAAACAAGTAAATATTGTAGCCAGAAGTAGCTTTACAGATCCACCCGATTCACACTTACTTAACAAGCCAAGTGATCCTCGGCTGCAGAAAAGCCTCCAGCCAAGATTTAACCGGTCTTCAAGTTGCGATACCCCATCTGCAGTGATAAAAGATACAGTTCCTCAAAAAGCTGACCCCCGCTTGGCAGCCAGGTCAGCTATGGGGTCATCACCAACATCTGTTAAACCGTCTCAAGATATTCTTCCACCATACACTCCCAAATTGTCCCCATCCAGTAATAGACTAGGGTCACCAGGGTCAATACTGAAGAATATCAGTTTGTACAGCCCCCGTGACAGTGCTGCAACTTCTTCAGAGCCTTTGTCAGCTGAGACAGGCGATAATGAAGACCATCAGAAGAAGCCAGCCAGTGTGAACAGGCCATCTCTTGAGGCTGAAGCAGTGGACAGTGTGCAGCAATCTGTGAGTTCCACAGGAGGACTGCCATTAGATAAAGATACTCAGAGTTCTGCAGATATTGAGAGCAAACCTGAGAACCCTGATGAAAAACTAGCAACAGCAAATCAACCTGCAGCGACACAGTCAACCACTGCACCAGCAGTTCATATCCTGCCAATCCAGGCCTTGTCAGGACTTATCAGGCCTCAGTACAATGATCCAAGGCAAATCAAGTCAACAGGACCTGCCAGTCAGGTATCAGATGCTAACACTGATGCTAACACTGATGCTGAAGCAGATGACAAGCCCCTAAAAGATGTTTTCAAAACCTTTGACCCCACAGCTTCTCCATTTTGCTAACTGCTACCTATACTGGAGGAGTCATATTGTACATAGTTCTTTCCCACCCTCACTGGTTTGTAGCTGGCTTTATTCCACACCCCTATTTATTTGTAAATTATGACCGCATATCTGATCGGCTTCTGATTCATTTCAATGCGGACATAAGCTGCGCCAAGTGCATTTCCTGTGGTGTTGTATTTCAAACTCTCTTGTAATGATAAATCTTGTGATAATGATAATAGTCCTTACAAAATAGGCTTCAGTAAAGCACTTTCACTGTACATAGGACATAATATGCAAATGACATGTACAAACTATCAACACATTTGTATGTCTGTATGGTATAAAGCAATATAATGTAAATTAACTATACTGACTTTTAAGAGTAAAAAAAAAATGTACAGGTCAGTACCATGATATCAAACATGTAAGTACATGAGACAGGGAGAAATTAGCACAACTGTATACTAAACACTGCCATGTGCCATTTGGTGTGACCTACTTACAAATATGATACAAAAGTGCTTTTGTAGACCACAAATCTTCATGCCGCTTGATGTGTATGTACCGCCTGCTTTCAGTAAAATCAGTGTTAAGGAACATCCTCAGCGCATTCTACAGTTCAGTGCAGGGTCTCTCTCTATTAGGGCTAAGCTTCGAGGTTGGAAAAGTCAACATATAAATACTACAGGGCTCCAAGTTTTGAGGGCTCTGGTGCTGTCCTGCAGCAAAACATTGTCTAGCAAGTCATACTGATAAGCACCTGGTATTGCATAGTATTGAATTCTGTGCTAATTTCTACCTGTCGCCTCTAATGGCAGATTAACTTTATAGTGAACCTATCATCAAGAAGCTGACAGTATGAGAAGAGGGTTACGAAGGTAGATACTCCCCCCTTGTTTTTGTGCATTCCCTATTAAGGCTGAACTCTAAGCGAATATTGGCTAATACAAGAGGAATGTGTTGTTTTTTATTTGAATCTTGGTGTAGTTTGTGTTCTGGATCTGTGAAGCAATCCAGTATGAAACTTTGCCTCTGTACTAGAGTTTCCTAGAACTCCCCCAAAAATAAACTTGAATTTGATCCCTAGGGGCCCAAGTACATGTAGCACTTGGTTCTGTTGTAATCCATCATGCTGTTGCTAAGCAGTGGGGGCAAGATAGTTTACCCACCACTGTACGTATATGCTGCTAGCAAGGAGATGGAATTTCCAGTGATAGCACTGGTCTCTGGCAGCAGGGAAAACCTTGGAGACCGTCGCTGCCATTTACAACAGATCACACATCCTGCAGTGTGTGTGTGTGTAGATGCAGATTTTGTAAATACTTAGCCCCTGCAGATCTATCACGCAGCCCTGCTGTCCTGAGTGATTTTTTAAATTATTATGAAATAACAGGCAGTGCTGCGGGGCTGTGTCAGCACTGATCGATAATTCATAAAAGTAAAACATTACTCAGTGCTGCGGGCCTGTGTGATCTATCTGCCAGGGTTGTGTATGTTGATAAGCAGCTACAGATGCACACAACCCCCGCAGCCCTGAACTTTTACTATTATGGATCAGTGCTGCCGGGCTGTGTTATAGACCTGCCAGTTCCCTGTATGATTGCTGGCAGCTCTATCATGGGGCTCGCAAGCACTGATTGTACATTCATAATATTAAACTAACATCTTAGAGAGGGGAAGGGCTCAGTGCTGGCTGTACCTACCCCCACAGTAATGCCCATATATTGGGCTTCACACTGGGGTGGAGCTACAGCCAGCATTAACTTAGGAGGTGATTTTCATCCACAAAGGGGCTAGTGATCGGAACAGGCTTAAGTGCTTTATGCACTTGGTCCGCTGGGGGAATCAAAACATTTTTGGTAAATTTTTCTGAAAGACCAGTCATTGCTGGTTTCTCTCCTTGTACAGGGTTGATTATCTTGTATCTATCCCCTGTACTTTTCTGCAGAAAGCCTGTAGTGGGAGCACCTGCTGGGTCCTTACCACAGCTCTGCAAAGGCTATGTGCAGTGCAATGTTCATGTTATTATTATATTTACATCGTAATTACTGGGTTTGCAGAGACATTTGGTGCATACAAAGTTGATATATATTCTCTGTGGCTATTGAGGAATTTATGTACAGTTTAGCTTGAAGTAAAAAATGAGCTGGGAGTATAGTTTGATGGACTTCAGATTATAATCATGTTCTAGTTATTTGATTTGTGTTACCGTCCACCACTATGTTGGTTGCTTATGATTTCGTATATTTGTCCTTCATGTGGTTTGAACTCTTTGTGCTTCTGTTTTGTATGCAGGTTCCAAGGCATTGCTAGGACTTAAGATTGTGTTAGGTGGAATTAGAATGTGAACAGAACACAGAGGAGCAGAGTAAAAAAAAAAGGAACATTTGTTAATTTCTCTCAGCAGGTCTGGTATCCATTGCCAACAGTATTGGCCATGTGGGCTATGCAGAGGATTTGGGAGCAATAATGTTTAGGCTAAGTGGGTCTATTAAAGACCACGTGACCAGGGAGGGAGCTCTGATTCCCAGATTTGAATTAAGTTACATTTCCAGCATATTTAATTATTAATGACCTTGAACATTCTAAAGAATGGAAACACAGTTTTGTTTTTTCTGTTCAGGACATCTTTAATTTACTGAAAGCTCTGTGAAGTCTAACCCCAGCTTTAAAATAAATGAATTAGCTGAAGAAAACCATCTTGTGATGGAAAATAGTTTTGCTCTGTCCGGGTAAATCTTTTTTTAAACCAGAACTCCTTAAAGTGAACCTATGAGCTCATATATACACAAGAAAATCCTCTATTCTGCACCTCTGTTTACTACTTTATCCTTGTTCAGTGAAAGATCCTGATTGGGCAGTGGCATAAGCTGTTGGCAGGACTTGGTCCTGAAGGGAGGAAAGTCAGACCCTCTTGAAATTTGAAGAAACCCATAGGAGAGACCTTTTTTTGGCTTATAAAGGCATGCATCTTGTGGTGGTCTCTATCAGGTGGGACTTTTAAATTTAAACATCTGAAATAATAGGATATTTAGTTCTCGGTGCTAACGGTGGTGGTACTTGATTGTAGGGACCTTTTATCTTGCAGCACTGATGGCTCCAGATTTAGATGAGATAAATTTACTATTGAAAGCCCTAAAGCAGTGTTATCCGTTAAGCTGGCCATAGAAGGCGGGCTGAGCAAGAGGAATCATTTGATCCCCTATCCATGCTAAACAGCCCTGATGGATGAATCTCCCTGCCGACGTTTGTATTCTGACGGTCTGTTCTCACAGCTGTCAGAACACTCAAACAGTGACCACATCTGATTGTTTTCCACCAATTCGGCAATAGTTGATTAAACAATTTACTTTGTCAAGCCAGGTGGTGACAGCAGGACTACCTGCAAATTATTGTTTCATCACCTTTATGCTTTATGCACAGCCAGGGAGATAGCAGTACTACTTCCTGGTTCAGGTATACTGCTTCCTAGGTCATAGGGGAGAGATGATGCAGGTTGATTGTCCAGCAAGCAGACTGAAGGTCGAGTGGTGGCACAGGAAGCTTTATTTCTGAACTAAGAAATAAATTGTGTAACCACCATGAGTTTTCAGTGTGGCAGATCAGTAAATGATATTTTCAAAATATTCGAGGAGAGACTACAAATTGATGACATTAATTTTAGGGGGGTAGTTGAGGGTTTAGGTGGGGGTGTTTAGGTGATGGGAGCATATATGACGCTCTTTAATTTTATGCCCAGCGCTAAAAGCCTGGTGTGAATAACTATGGCACTGAGAACAAACACAATATTATGACTGAACGATTTCCTTTAGGACCCCAATACTTAAAAAATTCAATGGTTTGATTACACAGTGGTACCTCGGTTCACAAACTTAATTAGTGCCACGATTCTGGTCGCGAACCGAATCAAACTGTGATCAGAACGCAATCTCGACTAGAGGAAGCCACGACCATGTGTCAGAGCAGGGAAGATGGCTGTGGTTATGTTCGTCACCCAATGCGGAGTTCGCAACCAGAAGCAAAATTTTACCAAACTTCCTGTTCGCAAACCGAATTGTTCGTGAACAGAAGTGTTCGTGAACCGAGGTACAATTGTAAATAGAGCCAAGAATGTTGTCTACCTTCTGTGCCCTACTTTTGTCTGCTTCCTAATGATGGATGTTCTTTAACACAGCCCAAAAAATCTTTGACCTCTGTTCCAATATATAACACATTTTATTACTGTTGATAACATTTGAGCTACATGTAAAACCATGCTCCTGTGTAACAACAATGAGCATTTTAAACAATTTTATTATGTAAAAATTGAAAGTCTTAGGGCAGTACTACACAAATGGAGGACAGGCCTTGTCCAAGGATTATTTTTGTTTTGTTTTGTTTATTGTTTTATACTTAGTTTTCACAGACACGGTCATGTAATTGTATGTAGTAGGGAATTGTGTTTATGTATTTTGCATGAAATTATTTTGTATTTGCATTTTTGTTATTGCCTTTTCAGTACTTATTGATTGTTTATACCATTTTAACTAAATATTTAAACACAAAAAACATTAGTCCTTTTTAGTGTACAGGATTAAGTTTTTTTTTTGCTTGTAAAACTATTGGAAATATATGTTATAATCTTGTATGTGTTTCCGTTCACTTTTCCACAGAATACACCAGGGAAGTATATCAAATACCAAAGGATTTTATTATTTTTTTCTATCCTTTATTCAGGATAATGTGTCTGTTTAACTTGATTGATTATATTACTGATATATATTGGGTACAAGGACAGGCTGTATTGTCTCTTTAAACTTTTCAACTTTTTTTCTTTGTTGAAAAAGGTAACGGTAAATATTTAAGTGTATTTCCACTTTTGTAGCCAAATTGAGTTAACACAGTTTAAATTGCTTTTACTTGGGGTAGGGTTTCTAGGCATCTTAAGGGTTAAAATTTCTACTTCTCGTTTTGTCATGTTAGGAGGGGTTGTGAGGGGTGAGGGGCTTCTCCTTTGTATGTTAATGAGAAAAACAATCCTCAGATTTCAGTCCCAAGTCTTTCTAAAAGGACAAATCACCATGAAGGTGATAAGAAAAACCTGGAATCAGCCATGTTGCCTGCTGCAATAAAACATCTAAAAGGTAAGAAATAATTTTTGGTATGCTGTGTGAACAGATTTATATAACAAACATATAGAGGGGTTTTACTCAAATTTCACTGCAAAAGTGGAAATACACTTGAAGGCTTTTGACGTAATGTTTTTTTGCCACAAGAACAGGTCCTTAAATGTTGAAATGATTTTTGGAAAATCTTGGTGGGACATTTAAAGTCCATTTCTCCCCCTACAAACAAACTTAAATCAGGCTTCCCCATTCACTCTAATACATTTTACTGAAATCTTATGATTCTCGCCAAATTGTTGTCGAAATGACAACTAATAATTCTGCTCGTCCCTAGCCACCAGTCTTTGGAAGTAGGGCACTTAAAGGAAAGGAGAAAGGCAAGATTACACAGAAGCCTGTGGAGTTTAGTGCCATGTAACTGGAATGAGAAAATCATAGGTTTGATTTATGATTTGGAAAGAGGGGCTGGGTTGGACTTATTAGCATGCCCGATATAGTGGACTGGTTAGGACTGTACAAGACACAAGAAAACGATCACCATGAGACAATTGCTC